CAATTTATCACCCCCCCCCAACTTACTTGCTTCTGCTGTTTATAAAAAAACCGTTTCAGTATGATGATTAACCAACGAGCAAAATAATCCTTGGAGACTGCGGCGTTGCCGGACCCACGCCCGGTTGAGAAAGGAGGAGGGTTGAAGAACCAAGTAAATCTGTTATATTTAGCCACCTGCCACTCATGGTATTGACGCCATCGAAAATTTTACCGGCTCAGTCGTCGACCGGGTTACCAAGGGCCGCGCATGCTGTTGGCGGTCTGAGGCAGACTCGGAAAAGTCAGCTTCAGAACCTGCTCATTGCCCTCTGCCAGCCGCGGGCATAGCAACACAACAACGACTGACGAAGACCGAAGGAACGACGACGAAGATACCAGTCAGCAACGGAGTCGCTAACCGTTCCGAACGGAGGAGGCAGACAGCGCGATGCCATTATAGCAAATCAGAAAAGGAACTACGAGAACGACACCACCAGTGGGAGCGTAAAGTCGGAAATTGGAACATATCCTCAATCAGAGGAAAAGAACACGAATTGGTTGATGAGGCCAAAAAGCACCAACTCGAGGCTGTTGGACTCTCGTCAAAAAAAACGCCCAGGCTCTGGACTCCTGATGCTCAATGGATGGAACCTATTCTACTCAGGCGTAAATATCACGACTCGCGCTCAGGCCGGTGTTGGCGCTCTGGTAGAACCCAAGCTCTCGGATAGAATCATTCATTAGAAGCCCGTTAGCGGAAGAGTAGTAATCCTTCGACTGAAGCTACAAAAGGCTAAAGCGTTGACCTTTGTACAGGCCTTCACAACCAGTTTGGAGGGAAAATATACCTTACTTGAGGAAGTGTAATGTGATCTGTCCGAAGTGCTAAATACTGAGTCCCTAATGCTCATGCGTGATTTTAATGCGCATGTCCGAGTAGACGCGGAAAACTAGAACGGCGTGATTGGAAAAAGCGCCCTAGCGACTCAGCAATAACGCCATCAACTTGCTATGGTCTTGTGCAAACAGCGGATTGTCCATTATGAACACCTTCTTCGAGCATCGAAGAGTGCATCAGTACACCTGCTACCGAGAAACTTGTGCAAAGAAGCAGATGATCGATTTTATACTCGTATCGTCTGATCTAAGACGAACAGTAATGGTTGCTCTCATTAAGAGGCGCAGGGCTATCAACCGATCATCACCTTGTTGTTGGCACGGTCCGCTGTAAGAAATGGAGTACAATACGAAGATCTGGGGGCAGAAGCAACCGGAGAATCAAACGGGAAACATTATCTTCGGTAAACAAGAGAGCAAAATTTGCAAACAACATCGCACGACGGTTTGAACAGATCCCAATGAAGAACCGATGTTGAAACCGAGTGGCAGCTCTTTAAGAGCGGAATGCTGCGGATACAAACGGGTTGGCCTGCCGCCTGGAGGACAGAAAAGGTTTTCATGGTGGACACGAGGTACAACTGGCACTTAAAGAGAAGAAAGCAGTGTTCAAGAAATCACTTGAAAAAAAAGAGCCTTATACTCGGAAGCAATATGTGAGGCACGCAAGGATGCAGCTAAAGCAGTGGCGAAATTCAAAGATGATTCCTGTGAGAAGCTCAGTGAGATGTTGCAGTCGAATTTACAAACGGCAAATAAATTATTCTGGCTGACCATCCGCCGGT